ATGAATAAATAATGAGTGTTAGTAAGAGACATCTATCAAACCTTTTGTTTTTGCAAATATCATCTCTAAATATTAGATTATTTTTAATATTTATGGAGCGTTGGAACATATCAAATGTGGAGTTGTTTATTTTATTTCATAGATGCTTTTAGCCACCCTTCACTTGATACTACATGGCAGCAGCCATCAGTTTGAAATTGCAAATATTTTAATGAAAGTTTGTTAAGTATTTTGATAATTTTTCACTTATAGCATTGTTTAGTATTTCATTTGGATGTCTTCTCTTATCAATATGATGAGTTTAGAATGCATTACATTGTTTCTTTTAAATTTGAAGTCTGATCCTTACGTCTATAGTATTTCTGATCTTAGAATGCAGAAATGAAGTTTTTATTCTTTTTTAGCTACTTATTTCCTGTTGATTTTCTTGAATGAAATACTTTGATATTTATTCTTTCAGAAATATGGTTTAGGGCGTAAAACTTATGAATAAATAATGAGTGTTTCTAAGATCCAGAACATATCATGCTTTGTTTTAAATTAGTTATTGTTGTGATAATTTTGCTTACCCTTACCTTCATCAATTTTTCCAAACGATATAAATAAATACACCTGTAATTAGATAGTGCATTGAAATTGCTCAGTTCAGAAAACTATGTTCAACTGTTCAGGTCATGAAAGAGCAATTACAAAACATGATGTAATTTCTGGAGTGGTATTGATAAGATATGTTTACACACAATCTGAGTATTGAGAACAAATCTTCATTCTTATAGCAACGATAACTACTAAATAAGTTGTTTTTTACCTTGCACTGTTGATGATATATCCATCCATCTACAAGTTCAATCTCCATCATTTTAACAACTACCAGAAACCAGCCTGTTGTTTTCTTTTTTTGAGAAACTAAAATAACAGCCTGTTGTTTTTCTTTTCACTTTTAAAATCTAGAAAACCTTTGTATGCATATGTTTCAATATGTCTCCTGCAGAACCAAGCTTTTCAAGTATTTTGATTTAATCTCCATGCTAAAATACAAAGGCTGGGTTTCTAAAGATATTTCAAATACTTTTGTATGGCTAATCATCAATGAGATACTGATTTTCAAATACTTTGTGTGTGGCTAATCATCGTTCTAAGTCTGATTTTCACTTAACATTGCCTATTCTTGGTTAATTATCATGTTTTATGTCAATATAAGTGTGATTCAGCAACTTAATATGTAAAACCATAACTTATGTTGATTCTTATTCATTATGCATATGTTTGAATATGACTTAGAGAACCAAGCTTAACATATACCAGCCTGTTGTTTTCTTTTATTGAGATACTAAAATACCAGCCTGTTGTTTTTCTTTTCACTTTTAAAAGCTAGAAAACCTTTGTATGCATATGTTTAAGTATGTCTCCTGCAGAACCAAGCTTTTCAAGTAGTTTGATTTAAACTACATGCTAAAATACAAAGGCTGGGTTTCTAAAGATATTTCAAATACATTTGTATGGCTAATCATCATTGTAATTCTAAACCCTAATACGTTGTGTATGGCTAATCATCGTTCAAAGTCTGATTTTCACTTAACATTGCCTATTCTTGGTTAATTATCATGTTTTATGTCAATATAAGTGTGATTCAGCAACTTAATATGTAAAACCATAACTTGTGTTGATTCTTATTCATTATGCATATGTTTGAATATGACTTAGAGAACCAAGTTTAACATATACCAGCCTGTTGTTTTCTTTTATTGAGATACTAAAATACCGGCCCGCTGCTTTTTTTTTGAGAAACTAAAATACCAGCCTGTTGTTTTTCTTTTCACTTTTAAAATCTAAAAAACCTTTGTATGCATATGTTTAAATATGTCTCCTGCAGAACCAAGCTTTTCAAGTATTTTGATTTAATCTCCATGCTAAAATACAAAGGCTGGGTTTCTAAAGATATTTCAAATACTTTTGTATGGCTAATCATCATTGAGATACTGATTTTCAAATACTTTGTGTGTGGCTAATCATCGTTCTAAGTCTGATTTTCAGTTAACATTGCCTATTCTTGGTTAATTATCATGTTTTATGTCAATATAAGTGTGATTCAGCAACTTAATATGTAAAACCATAACTTATGTTGATTCTTATTCATTATGCATATGTTTGAATATGACTTAGAGAACCAAGCTTAACATATACCAGCCTGTTGTTTTCTTTTATTGAGATACTAAAATACCAGCCTGTTGCTTTTTTTTTTGAGACTAAAATACCAGCCTGTTGTTTTTCTTTTCACTTTTAAAATCTAGAAAACCTTTGTATGCATATGTTTAAATATGTCTCCTGCAGAACAAAGCTTTTCAAGTATTTTGGTTTAATCTCCATGCTAAAATACAAAGGCTGGGTTTCTAAAGATATTTCAAATACTTTTGTATGGCTAATCATCATTGAGATACTGATTTTCAAATACTTTGTGTGTGGCTAATCATCGTTCTAAGTCTGATTTTCACTTAACATTGCCTATTCTTGGTTAATTATCATGTTTTATTTCAATATAAGTGTGATTCAGCAACTTAATATGTAAAACCATAACTTATGTTGATTCTTATTCATTATGCATATGTTTGAATATGACTTAGAGAGCCAAGATTAACATATACCAGCCTGTTGTTTTCTTTTATTGAGATACTAAAATACCGGCCCGCTGCTCTTTTTTTTGAGAAACTAAAATACCAGCCTGTTGTTTTTCTTTTCACTTTTAAAATCTAGAAAACCTTTGTATGCATATGTTTAAATATGTCTCCTGCAGAACCAAGCTTTTCAAGTATTTTGATTTAATCTCCATGCTAAAATACAAAGGCTGGGTTTCTAAAGATATTTCAAATACTTTTGTATGGCTAATCATCATTGAGATACTGATTTTCAAATACTTTGTGTGTGGCTAATCATCGTTCTAAGTCTGATTTTCACTTAACATTGCCTATTCTTGGTTAATTATCATGTTTTATTTCAATATAAGTGTGATTCAGCAACTTAATATGTAAAACCATAACTTATGTTGATTCTTATTCATTATGCATATGTTTGAATATGACTTAGAGAACCAAGATTAACATATACCAGCCTGTTGTTTTCTTTTATTGAGATACTATAATACCGGCCCGCTGCTTTTTTTTTTGAGAAACTAAAATACCAGCCTGTTGTTTTTCTTTTCACTTTTAAAATCTAGAAAACCTTTGTATGCATATGTTTAAATATGTCTCCTGCAGAACCAAGCTTTTCAAGTATTTTGATTTAATCTCCATGCTAAAATACAAAGGCTGGGTTTCTAAAGATATTTCAAATACTTTTGTATGGCTAATCATCATTGAGATACTGATTTTCAAATACTTTGTGTGTGGCTAATCATCGTTCTAAGTCTGATTTTCAGTTAACATTGCCTATTCTTGGTTAATTATCATGTTTTATGTCAATATAAGTGTGATTCAGCAACTTAATATGTAAAACCATAACTTATGTTGATTCTTATTCATTATGCATATGTTTGAATATGACTTAGAGAACCAAGCTTAACATATACCAGCCTGTTGTTTTCTTTTATTGAGATACTAAAATACCAGCCTGTTGTTTTTCTTTTCACTTTTAAAAGCTAGAAAACCTTTGTATGCATATGTTTAAGTATGTCTCCTGCAGAACCAAGCTTTTCAAGTAGTTTGATTTAAACTCCATGCTAAAATACAAAGGCTGGGTTTCTAAAGATATTTCAAATACTTTTGTATGGCTAATCATCATTGTAATTCTAAACCCTAATACGTCGTGTATGGCTAATCATCGTTCAAAGTCTGATTTTCACTTAACATTGCCTATTCTTGGTTAATTATCATGTTTTATGTCAATATAAGTGTGATTCAGCAACTTAATATGTAAAACCATAACTTATGTTGATTCTTATTCATTATGCATATGTTTGAATATGACTTAGAGAACCAAGCTTAACATATACCAGCCTGTTGTTTTCTTTTATTGAGATACTAAAATACCGGCCCGCTGCTTTTTTTTTTTGAGAAACTAAAATACCAGCCTGTTGTTTTTCTTTTCACTTTTAAAATCTAAAAAACCTTTGTATGCATATGTTTAAATATGTCTCATGCAGAACCAAGCTTTTCAAGTATTTTGATTTAATCTCCATGCTAAAATACAAAGGCTGGGTTTCTAAAGATATTTCAAATACTTTTGTATGGCTTATCATCATTGAGATACTGATTTTCAAATACTTTGTGTACGGCTAATCATCGTTCTAAGTCTGATTTTCACTTAACATTGTCTATTCTTGGTTAATTATCATGGTTCATGTCAATATAAGTGTGATTCAGGAACTTAATATGTAAAACCATAACTTATGTTGATTCTTATTCATTATGCATATGTTTGCATATGACTTAGAGAACCAAGCTTAACATATACCAGCCCGTTGTTTTCTTTTATTGAGATACTAAAATACCAGCCTGTTTTTTTTTTGAGAAACTAAAATACCAGACTGTTGTTTTTCTTTTCACTTTTAAAAGCTAGAAAACCTATGTATGCATATGTTTAAATATGTCTCCTGCAGAACCAACCTTTGGAATGATTGTATCGGAACATTTATACCGTGGTTTCATGCTAACTAATATACCTACGAACTGCTTTATTTATTTTTTCCAACAATCTTTGGGAAGTAATAGTGCCTGTTTTTTTTATAAACTTTGAAGTGAAAACAAGCTTAACCAATAGTTTCTATTTTTAATATTCATGCAGGGAACACGCATACAAGCTACAATTGAAAATACTCATGTTTCTACCTTCAAGGGCAAAATCAAGGAGCATGGTCTTTATGGAATGATGCGTTTTGAAGTTAGGGCTAATAACGGTGATTACAGGCCTACTTCACATCCTTTCAGGTTATATTTTAAGGAGAGCACAAAGATCAAGGAGCGTGATCTTTCATCAGAGACAGAATTCCCAAAGGATTTGTATTCATTAAAAAGTTTCACCGAGATAAAAAATACTCATAGAAGAGCTGGAGATGACTTATTCGGTAATAAGTCATAACATTGTATTTGACTTTAAAGAGTTTATCCTCACAGAACTAAATTTTTTGCTTCGGTTTTTACAGATACAATTGGAAAGTTTAAGTTTGACAACATCAAATATTCCTTGCAACCAGATGGATTGCCGCGAGCAGCAGAATTCATCCTCGAAGATCTGGAGTATAAACTCACATCATAACAATCTTTTAGAAGTAATTATTTAATAACAATTTCCATTTACATGAGTTGCTGAATCTTGCATTTGTTCTATCTATATTTTATGCCAACAGTAAAAATCAGTTGTCGTGTACACTATGGGGTGAGTATGCACAGGCTTTGAGGAATATGCCCAGTACTTCGGCCGAACCACACATCATGCTGCTTCAGTTGTGTAGAGCAAAGACTGACTATGGTAAAACATTTATTAATTCATGTACTATAGTTATTTATGTATTCTCTATACTTGATAGAGATAACATATAAAATATTATAGGTGAGGTCATTCTTGCAAACTCCTTTTACTGTACAAAGGTTATAGTGGACGAGAGTATCCCTGAAATTGAGGACTTCCGTACTAAGTAAGATGCTTCTTCCCACAAATTGATTTAATATAGATTGGTAGCACTAAATGCATTCATAAAGTAACTTTTTAATTAGAATGTTTATTCATACTTGATTATTGACAAAAATATGCCAATATTTAGAATATAAAAAATGAAAATGAGATGTAGACATTATCATATATTAAACATTTGAATCTATATACTTTTACTAAATATTGATTATTAGTTACTTCTTGATATCTAACTATTTTCCTTTAAGGTTGGTAGCCAGCTCACAGTCTTCATCATCTGCAAACTCCACCGGTTTTTTTATAGATCCTGCATTAGTTAAGTCAGTGTCTGAACTGCTTGCAATTTCTAAGGTTAGGCTATTTGAATTTTAATTTAACTCATTTTGTGAGATTACTCTATACTTCGTTTTTAACATATTTTAATTGTGAACATAATTTAGAGGTCCCGATGTTGGATCTTTGGTAAAATCACAAATATTCTCAATCGAAGAGCTTGGTCCTATCAAGGGTGTGTAAAAGAGTCTTGCTCTAAAAAGGCCTCTGCTCACGCGCGACAAGTTTAAGTGCTCTAAATGCAATGAGGTGTTCGACCAGGGAATACACCGATATAAGATTACTGTTATCGTGAAGGATTCTTCGGGCTCTGTTACGTTATGTCTGTGGGATCACGAGTGTCGTCAGTTGTTGCACAAAACTGCGGGCCAACTCAGAGAACAACTGAATCTGGTATGATAATTCAAAATAATTGTTTTAAGTAATTCTCTAAAAGTATGTTAAATATGTATTTGAATAAATAATAAATTTTATATTTTTTATCTTTCAGAGTGGCATTCATGAGACAGCGACGTCAAAAGAAATTGACGATTTAGTGGGTCTACATCTTTTGTTTAGGGTTGATATAAGCGAGGAAGATTTTAAAAAAAGTGACAAAGTTTTTTCCGTGAGGTGCCTCACACAAAATGATGATCTTATGAACCAATTTCTGGCAAAAACAAATGATGAACAACAAGTGGTATATAAATGAATCAACTTTATTTTAATTTATTGTTGTCGTGACCTTTTCATTCTTAATGCCTAACAATTGATTGAAATTTTATTCTCTAGGATCTGGAATCTGATGACGATTTGGAAATTTTTTTCAGTCAGCCAGGAGTAACATCATCAAACGTAAGTAATGCTTAAAAATTTAATAATCATGTTCTCCCAAATATGAATAATGTATATTTTTTATTTCAACATTTGTAAGCATATCATTATCTTGCCATATAAAATTGATGCTTAATGCTTTATGATTACTTGAAAACATATCAAGTAAACATATCATTATCCAGGAGTAACATTTGTATAAACCACTTGAAAACACAAGAGTTAAAGAGTATATTGGCTTAATGCTTTAAGATTACTTCGATTGCTTCTAGCCTAAGTGGAAAATTAGCAAAACTTGGCCAGCCCAACCAAATATATACTTGGAACATTTATGAAATATCCATAGGCACATGTATCCATGATCTATGACAACCAGGGGATAGCCTTCCTAAATATTTGTATTGTATGTATTTCATTTCAAAATTTGTAAACATATCATTATCTTGCCACAAAAAATTGATATGTAACATCTAACATTTAAATTCACATTCTAGATTAGTACTCACCCTATTTAGATATTTTAAACTTAAAGAGCTAACAATATTTAATGTTATCATTGAACTTCAGAATATTGATGATGCTACGACTACTACCCCAATGTCAAAGCGGTCTTTGTTAGATTATGAGGAAGGACATGATGGAGGATCTTCTACTCAAAACTCCACTAGCAAACTGCAGAAAACTATCAAGGTTGAAAAACCTTAAGGTTTTGGAGATGGTGTTTGAGGTGGCCAAAAAATGAAGAATTATCTTTGCTCTTTAATTTCATGTCATTTTTAGTGGATGAGTATTTACTGCATACATGTTAGTTTTTCAAGAGATGGTTTTCTTGATTTACTTTGATTTACATTGGTTTAAATTAGTTAATGTTGAGATAATCTTGCTTATGCTTACCTTCATGAATTCTTCCCTGCCAAAACAGTTTGGATTTTTTTTGTCTCTGCGCACAAATAACTGAATAAGGCATAAAAACACATACATGTTATACATTTAAGCAACTGCTTATTGAATACAAATAGTCCCTCCGCCCCTTTTTATTTTAGCCAAACACTATTTTCGAAGTCAATGATGTTAAACTTTGACAATTATATATTTATACACGGTAATATTGATAATATCATCATGACATGAAATCTTTTTTTGTTAAAAATGCTATCATAAAATATAAATTTTTTAAGTTTCACATAAGTATATACTCCCCCCATCCCACTGTGTAAGATACTTTACGTTTTACGATGTTTGACAAATGGTAAAGCAAACAGATCCTTGTTCGTACTCAAAATATTTTGAGAATTTTTTAGCGTATTCAGAAACTACATTAAGTTACCGTTTGGTGACTGTTTTTCTTAACTTATCAGTCAACTTTTTTTTACCAAATAGGTAACTTTTAATTTTGCACGCTGAGGTATTTAATAATAAGAAAAAGTATTGTTGGAGTTATTTTTTTAGTTGTATTGGTTGAAGTTATTGTAGATAACTATTTTACCTTTTTTCATATAATTTTTTCTTTATTTTATCAATTAAATATATTTTAAATTTAATTTTTTCATAAATCAGCAGAGTCAGTCAATTCAGCCGATTTCAGTGTTACCAAACAGGCTTTAAAAGATTTACAAAGTCTCAACAACCAGAAACAAATTTGATTTATAAAGTAAGAGATTAGGAGTGATTTGTGTTGACCAAGTAAATAGGAAACATATCTTACAAATTAGGATTGAGGGAATATTAGTTAACGGCTTTAGCCGGACGGCGGGTTCTGTTTGGCTGACCTGCTAGAAAACACCACTTTTATTTACTTATAGGATACTCCCTGTCCCTCTGTCCTAGATTAAGTTTGTCACTTAAGCTATTGGGCGTCCCAATTGAAGCTCCACATTTTTATTTTACGAAATAAACATTCTCAAATGAGAACTTAATCATCAAATACTAAAAATAATATATTTATATAATAAAAGTCATAATGACCTCATTGTATTAAGATGTTGATTAATATTACGGATTATTATAACTTTAAAAAAGTACCTTTAGGGAAGTAATTCATTTTATAATTTTATGAAAGTACTCTTAATAAGGAATATTTTAATATCATTTTTGTATTATAAATAATTTTTATAAATATATTTAGTTAGTCAAAGTTCAACACGGTTGACCAAAAAATTCAAAAATGTGAAAAGTTTTAAGAGACGGGGGAGTATAACATTTGTTTACGAAATAAGCATTTTCAAATGAGAACTTAATCATAAAAAAAGAGGACGTTTGGCAACACTGTTTTTTGGCTTATCGGGCTAATCAGCCAACTTTTTTCACCAAAGACGTAATTTTTCCTTTCGCATGCTGAATTGTGTAATAAGCAGAAAAAGTAAGGTTGAAGTTACTTTTCTGGCTGTATTGGTTGAAGTTACTGTAGATGACCATTTTAGCTATTTTTAAATATAATTTTTTCTATATTTTATTAATAAAATATATTTTAAAACTAATTTTTACTTAAATCAGCATAATCAGCCAATGCAACCACTTCAACAAGAACTTTATAAATTTCAGTAGAATCAGCCAAATCAGCTGATCTTCGTGCTACCAAACGGGCTCTAAAAATAATATAGTTATAACATCAAAGTTGTTATAATGACCTCATTGTATTAAGATGTTAATTAATTAAGATGTTAATTAATATCATTATAACACTAAAAAACACTCCGTGATATCTGTAATGGAATTGACAAACCCATAATATATACTCCGTAGATCAAGCAAATAAAATGTTCTGAGCCACAAGTCCATACAACTCAAAAAGTCCATATATAAACGGACACCTCCTGGTATTTGTGTTTTAATCAATGTGGAGTTTACAGCCAAGTCTCCTATTGTAACTAAATCAAGTACTCCGTATAATTGACTTTATGCTTTCAAACCCTATTAGACACTAAATAAAACACAAACGGTGCATGCAAATTTACAAGTTTTAGCTACACAATAATTCACAGGTGACCACAAAAAGGGGGTGAACACCATCTTCCCCAAGCAAGTTCCAATCCATGGCTTATGTGAAGAGAGCGATAGCTGATAAGGGATGGTGTTCAATTTGATGTCAAGTAATTAACTATTCACTGGTACGTGAATCTAATAATATGTACTCCCTCCGTCCCCTTTTAAATGTCCCGGAAGAGGGTGACACGAGTTTTAAGAAAAGTAGGTTTGTGTGGTTGATATTAATAGATAAAGTAAGAATAAAGTAAGAATAAAGTAAGAATGATTTTGAGTCACACAAACTTTACCAAATAAGGTATGTGACAATTAAATAGGGACATCCCAATATGATAAAATGAGACATTTAAAAGGGGACGGAGGGAGTAAGTTTGTACGCCAAGTAATTTCATATCTTCAGAGAACTGTTCATTATTAATAGATTATTCCATACCTTATCACACAATGAGTATAAGTTCTATGTTCATGATTAATTGTACAAATCAAGATGTTCTTAATACACATTTCATCATAAGCTAGAATATTTTTTTAAGACCTACGGATATTTTTTTATATTCAATGAAACCAAGTTAGAGATACTCATTCAAAATTGTATTAATATAAGAAATTGCAATTTCACAATTGTAGACGTCCAGTGCATAATTTTTGGACTTGCTTTCTGTTTTAATAATTATGTTGAATATCTTATTTATGACTATTACTACTGTTATTTTAAATGTTGTTGTTATTATTATGAATGATAGCTGTGAATGAAGAAATTGACAAAATCAACAATTTTAAATGGTGGAAGACTGCATCCGTCACGTAGTTCATCATGGGTTGAACCCATAAGTGATGCCGAAAATACTCATCAAACTATTAATAATCCCGCCAATGTTCTAAGCAAGAGATCAGGAGTTTGTGAAGTATCAAATTATTCACAACTACCTGATGCTGGAAGCGGTGATTTCGACGCCCCAAAACGAGCAAAATATCATGAATCACTTAGAAGAAGATCCAGAAACCCTCTATCCGATATCACAAATGGTATAAATATGTGTATCCGTGTAATTAAATGTTTATAAGGTAAATTCAAAAAACAACAATACACCACTAATTATTTACTTATTCTTATAGTTTCTCCCACCGCTCGCTCAGTTTCATATGTGCTGTCTGGACATGTTGGTTGCAACAATTTCATGAACGATTTTCGCTATAACAATGAAGATGTTAATTCTTCTCCCTTCAATGTGCCAAAGGATATTTCTCATTCTGGTATGTATAGTCCATAGAAAAATAGTAATAGAAATTACATATTCTATCAAATAAGAACACATTTTTTAGTTATAAATAATTGATACATGGAAAATATTATCATAAGGTACACATCGTGATGCTCTCGAGACCACAACACATGATACAAATTGTTCTCATGGTAACTCTGATGGTATGTGATTTACTATTGACGTGGTTTCCCATTTTGATATATATTAATTGATAGATGAAATTAGTGACTTATAACTCATTGTTCTTAGAGAATCAAATACAATATGCCAACGTGCCAAAGGATATTTCTCAACCTGGTATGTATAGTACGTAGGAAAATAATAGTAGAAATTACATATCCAATCAAATAAGAACACTTTTTAGTTATAAAATATTGATACATGGAAAGTATTATTATAACATTATTTCAATACTTATATATATGTATATATATAAGGTACGCATTGTGATTTTCTCGAGACTACACCGCATGATACAAATGCTTCTCATGATAACTCTGATGGTATGTGATTTACTATTGACATGATTTCGCATTTTCATATATATACATTGACGGATGCATTTTAATGAATTATAAATCATTGTTCTTAGAAAATCAAATGCAGTGCGACGATCTTTCCTCTCCAGGTACGGGTGTATATGCTACATGAACTATGCATCATCTACTACTTTAGATTTGTTTATTTTATGTTTCCTATTTAATTCTGTATAAGAAAGTCATTTCCGGCCTATTCACTTTTTTCATATTGCAAACATAATTCTTCAATAGTAAGTTTATATTATTACAATTGTATTTTTTATTATTATTGTAATTGTAATTTTTTTATAAGAAGAATATCAATAGTAAAAGTACTAAGATTTAATGCTAACAGATGATGATGTTGAATGTGATGTTGACTGTCTCGACTTCTCAGCTCCAGGTATGAAATAACTTTTGTATTATCATCACCGATTCTTAATCCAATTATTTACTCTGTTTTTTTGTATTTTATTCTCAATGTTCGTTTTAAATTTATATATTTGGATATTTGGTTATAGAATATGATGATATTGGTGATCCTACATATGCTTGTCAACATTGTGGAGCAATATTTTGGTATGCCGAGCGTGTAGAGAAACACTACCGTCCAAAGGTCCCAAAATTTACGCTATGTTGTAATCAAGGAAACATAGTCTTGCCGTTTATGAGATCACCCCCAAAGGAACTCCACGATTTACTATTTGGGGCTAATGACAGAAGCAAAAATTTTGTCGAAAACATACGTTCATACAATAGTATGTTTTCGTTTACATCGATGGGAGGAAAAATTGATTGGGACATTAATATCGGTACATCACCGCCGATATTTAGGTTGAATGGACAGAACCATCACCTCATTGGTAGTTTACTACCATTGGAAGGAAATCAACCAAAATTCGCACAGATATATATAGCTGATGCAGGGAACGAGACGAGTAACAGGATCCAATCTGTCGGGTAATTTCTTTAAAAAACATTATAGTTAATTTTATGTTTCTTATTATAATATAATTGTTTACATTAATTACTCTATTACTGCTCGAGAGTAATTCATAGTTTTTTTTATTGAATTTTAATGTTATATATTCTTGAGATTGAGTCACTTATTATTATTTTTTACAACTCAAAGGGGAAAGCCAACAGATAATAAGTTAAATCCTGAGACCGTTCGTGAACTACAAAACATGCTCGATCAACATAATGTTCACGTTAAATCATTCAGAATGGCTAGAGATCGATTCAATAATTCTGTTGTGGTAGATTTCAAACTGAAACTGATTGGCACAAGGCACAACAATGGAAGGGTTTACAACGAGCCTGAAGTCAATGAAGTTGCTGCAATTATTGAAGGTGATATTGATGCATCTCGAGCTGAAAGAGAAATAATCTTGGAGAAGAGGTCAGGTAAACTAAAGCGAATAAATGAACTTAACCCAGCATACCTTGGTCTTCAATATCCATTGTTATTTCCATACGGTCAAGACGGATTTAGAGAAGATGTGCCATTGACACGTGATGCTGCATCTACATCAAAAGGAAGAAAAAATGTCACACAGAAAGAGTTCTTTTGCTTTAGATTACAGGAGAGAGCAAGTGAGTCCCCTTATATAATGTCATCGCGTCGACTATTTCAGCAGTTTTTAGTGGATGGGTACACCATGATTGAATCTTCACGTTTGGCATTCATTCGAACTCATCAGAAGGAAATAAGGTGTGATCTGTACAATGGATTTACGGATGCAGTAACACGTGGTGAAACTGATCTTTCAAAACTAGGGAAACGAGTAGTTCTTCCCGAGTCTTTCGTCGGAGGTGCACGCAATACTATGCAAAACTACCAAGACGCTATGGCAATCTGTAGATGGGCCGGGTATCCAGATTTGTTTATTACTATCACATGCAATCCTAGATGGCCAGAAATTTTACGTTATGTCAAAGAGAGGGGCCTAAGAGCAGAAGACCGTCCTGATATCATATGCAGAGTTTTCAAGACTAAACTCGACCAACTTATAAAAGATTTGAAGCAAAATGAAGTGTTTGGTCAAGTTAAAGCAGGTACTTAATCTGTTTGGATCTTTAAATTTTTATTCTTTGTAATTTCAAATAATTAATTAATTTTTCTTTTATTTGTAGTTATATATACGATAGAGTTTCAAAAGCGTGGGTTACCACATGCTCATATATTGCTTTGGAAAACTAACAAAGTTAGGAATCCGAAACCAGAACAAGTTGATGCGTACATATCCGCAGAGATCCCGGATGAAAATGTTGAACCTTACTATTATCGTGCTGTCAAGGGTTTAATGATTCATGGACCGTGTGGTTATCTAAAACCAAAGTCTCCTTGCACCATAAATCGCCAATGTACAAAGCATTTCCCCAGGAAGTTTTCAGAATCTACTACAATTGATAAGAATGGTTATGCAGTGTACAAACGCCCAGATAATGGAAGGTCCGTAATAAAGAATGACATAGGGCTTCACAATGGTTATGTGGTACCACATAACAAGTACCTTCTGATGAAATATGGGGCACACATCAATGTGGAATGGTGCAATCAGGCTAAGTCAATCAAGTACTTATTTAAGTACATCAACAAGGGCCATGATCGTATTACTGTTGCCATTTCAAAAGCTGCAGATAATACTGAAAAAAAGGACATTGATGAAATAAATATGTATTATGATTGTCGATATGTTTCATCGTGTGAGGCTGCTTGGAGAATTTTTGGCTTCAATATACATTATAGAGATGTTCGTGTTGAGAGACTTAGCTTCCATTTACCAGGTGAACATTTTCTATTTTATCTTAGGTTTGTTAGTTTTAATATTACCTTCTTTTTATTTGTTGAAATTTTCCATTCCTTGATTTACTTTTTCTTCCGTTAGATGTACTTTCCTTTTTAATTTAAAATAAAACTCTCCTTTTTGTTGAAAATTAAAACAGGTGAACACAATGTGTATTACTCTGGTACTGACTCTGCTGATGCGGTGATTAATCGCTCTACAATAAAAGAGAGTAAATTCACAAAATGGATGGAGGCTAATAAAAAATATCCAGAAGCTAGACTATTAACTTATCCAGAGTTTCCTAGCAAGTTTGTGTGGAAGAACACAAGTAGAGAATGGGTGCAAAGAAAACGTGGAAGTTCCGTTGGAAGATTGTATTTTGTACGTCCTGGATCAGGCGAAAGATTTTTTCTGAGAACACTACTGAGCATTATTCGTGGGCCCACGAGTTATGATGATCTCCTTACTGTAAACGGTATACGATATGAGACATTCCGTGATGCATGTTATGCACATGGTTTATTAGGTGATGACAAGGAGTATATAAGTGCATTCAAAGAGGCTAGCCACTGGGGTTCTGCGCATTTAATGCGTATATTATTTGTTATCCTGTTGATATCTGATTCATTCGCTAGCCCTGAAAAAGTATGGGATAAGTGCTCTGAATACCTCTCAGAAGATGTGTTATATAATAGAAGAAGACAGCTTAATCACCAAGGTAAAAAGTTTTGTTATTAATTCTGTTAAGTTATTCCTTTTAGTTCATAGAACTAATCAATTTATGATAAATTTTACTCATTTTCGTCTATATTTTGTTTCAAATGTTCTAGATTTGCAATTGACGGATGATGATATCAGAAATTTTACTTTACTTGAGATTGAAAGACTCTTGCGTAGTAGAGGAAAGAGCCTCCGAGATTTTCCTGCTATGCCCTATCCCAAAGATGTATCTTTTCTTAGCTCAGAAAATTCTCTCATCAATGATGAGTTACGCTATGACAAAAGATCCATGGATGAAGAAATTTCAAACTTAATGAGTAAGTTGACTAATGAGCAGAAGTATGTCTTTGACACCATTATGCATGCAGTTGATTCAGATACTGGTGGAATGTTCTTTTTATATGGTCATGGGGGGACTGGGAAGACCTTCATCTGGAGAACATTATCTGCTGCAATAAGATCAAGAGGAGATATAGTGTTGAATGTGGCATCAAGTGGAATTGCATCTCTTCTACTTCCAGGAGGGCGAACTGCACACTCTAGATTCGCTATCCCATTGAATGTATTTGAAGATTCAATGTGCAATATTAGACAAGGAAGTCCATTAGCGGAATTAATACAAATTGCAAAACTTATCATATGGGATGAGGCTCCTTTGGCTCATAAGTTTTGCTTTGAAGCATTGGACAGAACCATGCGTGACATTATGCGGACGACCAATCCGCTGAGCATGAATCAGCCCTTCGGAGGTAAGACCGTGGTCTTGGGAGGAGATTTTCGACAAGTACTACCTGTTATTCCAAAGGGTTCTAGACATGATATTGTTCACGCGACAATAAATTCCTCTTATCTGTGGGATTATTGTAAGGTATGTCATGCATTACTTTTCTTCAAAAGTAACTTTAAAATGTTAACCATTATTAATTATTAATTAATAATATTTAAGATGACCTTAAGGATATTTATATGCGTAGCAACTAACACAATTTTCTTTATTTTTTCATTTATTTTATAATATTCTTTATCTCTCTCATGTGGTCCTGTTCGTGTCATGCTCTCTTCACCTCACTTTCCGTACTGAATTTGCGGTTTAAGTTCTTCCTGATAGAAAATTTTAATGAAAAATTGTGAGAATGTTCTTCATAAAGTATAAAGCACAGTTCTTTTCAATAATTTATTTAACTGACTTTCTGATTGATTTTTCAGTTTAAATTTGGTGGACACTCCCTTATAGACCAGTTAGGTGTATCTCTAAAATTATTATGTTATTTGTGAGTTTTCAAAGTTTCAACTCAATTTTCATCTTCTAATGACTTCTAATCTTTTTTAAGGTCTTGAAATTGACAAAGAACATGAGATTACAAGATCAATCTGGTGACCGTTCGTGCATTGAATTGCAAACTTTTGCTGAGTGGATCTTAAGTCTTGGGGATGGCATACTTGGTGAAGATAATGAAGGACATGGAATTGTTGAAATTCCTGAAGATCTTCTAATAAACAGCTCCACAGACCCTGTTGCATCTATAGTAGATAGTATATATCCCGATTTTACTTCACATTTTGGAGATGCAACATACTTAGATGGAAGGGCAATACTGGCACCTACGCTTTCTATGGTTGACATGATTAATGATTACATGGTTTCGAAAGATCAATCTAATGTGCGCACTTATCTTAGTTCTGATGGAATTTGTCAGTCAGATTCTGATGATCAATTGCTTAGTGAGCTACATACTCCAGAATTTTTAAATGGACTTAAGTGCTCAGGAGTTCCCAATCATGAATTGAAGGTAAAAGTTGGTGTTCCTGTTATGCTGATGAGAAATATTGATCACTCATCCGGTCTTTGCAATGGTACAAGATTAATGGTCACAAGACTTGCTGATCATGTTATAGAAGCATCGATTTTGAATGGCTTTAATCAAGGGAAAAAATTCTTGATTCCAAGAATGACATTAACCCCATCCGATTTGAGTCTACCATTTAACTTCAAGAGAAGGCAGTTCCCACTTTTTGTTTCATATGCGATGACTATTAATAAAAGTCAAGGACAATCGCTTTCTAGAGTTGGAATTTTCTTGCAAAACCCAGTTTTTACACATGGACAATTATATGTTGGAGTCTCTAGAGTTACAAAGCGTGAAGGTTTGAAGATCTTAATATGTGATAAAGATGGTCGTTCTACAAACTCAACAACCAATGTTGTTTATAAGGAGGTTTTTAGAAATTTGGACTAAATCATTCATCCTTCTAATAATAAGGTATGTTTCGTTGACTTTAGTCTATAAATTAATTTCTCGACTAATGTTATTCGTAATATTAATTTTCATTTCATTGTAACTCTTCTTTCATTAAATTATCTAATAAAGGTTATTAATTGATAGGTACTTCAAGACTTGGTGATACCAATTTAAGTAGGTATATTATTTCCCAACAATCTTATTTGATAGATATTATTCATCAATGTTACTTTGTCAAATCTTACAAGTAATTAGTGCTCAGTCTTAAGAAACAAGGCATTTAATAGTTTCATTTTTTCGAATTATTATCAACAATCTTTATTGAAACACACTGATATTTCATTTCACATACTTTGTATCATTTATCAGCATTGTTTTTGTATTCTTTTAGTTGTATGAGATGATTATGAATTTGATATAATTCTTTACTTTATTCAACTAACATATGTCATATTTTTCTTATTGCAGCTTCGAGAGAGCATGTGATTTATCACTATAATCATAAACTTTTTCATGAGTTATGAGATCAATTTTGTACAAATCTCACCTTAATGAAATATATTTATGGTTGATATAAATTGTTGCTATATTACAAAAATCTCTTTTGATTGTTTTAGTATTAA